CCCAGCCCTTGGGATGGATAGGATGGTCACGGCCCCTTCACCTGCAGTTCCAGAGATGGCTTTTCGACACCGGGTCGTCCGTTGACGAGCGATGTGTGGATCTCACCGCCTTCGAGTGGAGTGATCTTCGAATATTCACTTGTGCAGTGAACCTAAAGACACAGTTTTTCAATCACGTGTTGTGAAGCAATGCTCTATTTCAGAGAGAAAGGCGATTAATTTCTTCATTTCAGACATAAATTACCATCGATTAATTGACTATCATCAATTATCAGATTATCAATCATTATCACTAACATACGAACACAGCCTCAAGTAAATAAAGGCGAACAGTTCAGAGTAAGGCCATAAAGCAAAAGACGTACCTCGTCGTCACGCTGGAACCGAGGAACACCAGTGGTGGCTGGTACTCCGAACTGGCGCATACATTCGGCATCAGATGTTGCGTAGTACTGCCATGGGTCATAATGGATACCATCTAGGGATTTCTCTAGAACCCACGTCCCTGGGCGAGGAGCGTTTCCCATCTTGACGACCACATACGCCACTTGGTACTCCTAAAAGGAGTGGATAGGTTGAATTCGAAAAGCATATGATAGCAATATGGCTTTTATATGTCAAAGAAGATTCGGCGCTATCGCAATATACGGGGGCATTGTGGTGGCAGTGCATTTAAAATTGCGTAAAACGTGTCTTTTTTGTTGAAAACGGGACAAGCCTTAGGCAGAGGTGGAGAGACTCCAGGGTGCGTTAGCCATTTCGTTCACTTCGGAGCTCCTGCCCTCAGAGGCCTAGTCCTGGAGGATGTCCCCGTACATTGCGATAGCGCCGAAGATTCTGTTAGGGAGGACTCAATAGCTAAGGAATACAGCAAATGACATCTAAACTACTTGCCCAATCTGCTTGAATGTCTTTTAAAAGCCGAGTTTATGATAATGAGGCAACCCATTAAAAAACAAGGTAGAGGTGGTCAGTGTGCAGGGATGAAGAAAAACCATGAGAAACGGCCCAGAACCCGAGAAATGGGACCCTTCTTTGCCCGTTGATTTCCGCATTGATGCGACTCTCATCGGTGCTGCCCTCTTCAACGCTAACGCTCTCTCTGCTAAACGGCTAGAGTCAGACGGTAAGCGAGTGGGCGGGCAGCGGCGGAGCGACGCGGAAATAGCCCTGCTAGGGGTATTCCCTTAGCTGCAAAACGCGCATCGTACCGCACTCTATTTATAAGGGGCCCGCTTGCCTTACAACTTCCCTATTTCTCCCCTTCTTCGACCTATGAACTTATAGAATCCTCCTTTAATGTACCACAAAGAATGAAACTGATTGGAGTTAAGGGTAAAGAAATCCAAGATCTAATCCCTTCTTATGAATGACCCAATGCAATACTGGGGGATATCACCTAGTTATGTAGATCATTTCCGAAAATTCAATTGTCATGCCAGCGCTGCAAAAGTTTTATGTAAAATCTATAATCGATCGATCCCTATTGCTTTGTAGTTTGGCCATTTTGGGAGATCTTGACCCTCACACCCAATAACGCCAGCAAACATCGTGCATGACGGTCATGTCGCTTGTATGGCGCAGCATCAAAGTCAAACACCACAGACACCGAAGGTCAATATGCATTTCCGATAATTGGAGACTTGAACAGTTTAGTAAGAGAAGAAAGGAGTATATTCTTTCTATTATGTCTCATATCTTATTTTCTATTTTAATTCTATTGTTTTCTTAAAGGTAAACAATGGAACATATATAATAGAATGTATGCTATACGAAACTTGAACGCTGAAAAAACCAGAAAAGGAGGTCCCTAGTTCGATTCCTCGTGGTAACAAATTTTTGCATTTCGAGTTGACGTGCCAAAATTCGCGCAAAATGGAGTTAGAACCAACCAGAACAATCAGAACTCCATTTTGCGCGAATTTTGGAACGTCAACTCGAAATGCAAAAATTTGTCACCAAGAGGAATCGAACTAGGGACCCCCTTTTCTGGTATTCAGAGGGCCGTTCAGGAAAAATTAAACATGGTTCTGTGGTCCCCGCATCTGCCCCTATATCATGCAAAAGACCGTTTTCAAAAAGCTCGTCACGCCCTGAAAGACCTTCCTGGTAAGTCGCCAAACGCAAATTGAAAAGCGTTGACTTAATTGCCTTATCAGGCATTAACGATATCTGATAGGTGATTGTCTGGAAGCTTCCCAGATGTGTGCAATATGTTCTTCAATTTGAGTCTTGTCTCAAGTCAATGTTTCTGATTCAAAGTGATTTAGTGTCAAGGTGGTGGGTTACCGTAGTGCACCTACGGGTACATAAAAATGAATAAAAGTAATAGATACCTGTCGCAAGTCGATGGTGACGTTCACTTTCTCATACTGAAGTCCGTTGGCCAAAGACGGGGCGATTGCCACCATCTGGAATAAATGTGCTGTTCTGCTAATGATCTGTAGAGTCGCTCATTTTAGCTCACCTCCTTGTCCCATCGATGGCAAACTTCGATCGGATGACGATGCCTCGGGTCATTTCGGGCGTCACAGATTCGCCACTGCGAGCGACCTGAAGGTAAAGTAATCAGGCTTTGGTAGGGCATCATTGTGGAAGATTCTATAGCCACGTCGAAAGAGATTCACTCTTATCGTTCACGAGCGGTTGATATAAGTTCAAATAAACATGAATCGTTCCGCACTTACTTGCATTTTTGCTATTAGGTCTATCCGAGTCGGGGAGGGGGGGGGTGCAGTTCACGATGCCAGTTTTTTTTTTTCAGAAATTCTAGAAGTAACTTGGATGTCAGAGGGGCGAAATGCTAGCAGATCTATTGGCGGAGGAGGGGGGGGTGGTGTGGAGCGCTCACTTGACATGTGTGGAAAGTTGGAATGTTCGAGTTCACACTACTTCGCCGAGAAACTGCATCATGATAACCCCCCCCCCTAACTGGAATAGACCCCGCTATTATAATACTTTGATAGATTACCCATCAGTAGTGTCGATTTTTTTCAGACATAAAATGCTCTGATAGCAGTTCATTCTTTCTCCTCCCTACTTTCATATTTGAGCGCCTTACCACACGCAATTTGATCCACGGATCTAGTCTTTACGCAATTGGACTCCGATCGGATCTGAAATAGAATAATTGATCTGCCTAATTCTGACGGCTTGTGATTGTTTTAGTAAAGCAAACGAATACTTGTATAGAAATAATAATAATGGCCACAGAATGATGCTCACCCTCCAGCAGCGGTTTTCCGCAGCAGAACGTGCTCGACAAGTTTACAGTACTCCTCGCGCCGAGTGTATCCACAAGTGGCCGAGGCGTTGATCAGGGAATTTGTGGCCAGGTTAAAAATACTTGGGAAGAGACCTCGCTCTAAAAACAAATAACTTTTATGCCATACAGTCTCACCGAGGAAAATACTGGCACAAGCATTCAACTGAATATACCGCTTTCAGTGGCAATAAATTCCTGATACGAATCATAGTCGTCCTGGCAGCTGGCCAAACCGGACAGGACTGCAGAGGGCAAACAGCCAGTCCACTAGGACTCGTAGAGGTCGCATCTGCAGATTGATGGAGCTGAAGGCTTAAACAGAAGATTACCTTGATATCAACAAAGCGTATCGTTGCATTTCATACGAAGCGAATACTGTGGCACATTTCAAAGGGTAAGAGGAAGGAAAATCGAAAGTAAGAGGGCAAAAACAAACTATGTCAGAATGAGCAGTGGACCTTGAGGAAGTCAGCAGTGCACAGTAAAGATACTTTTTTGATTACAATTTTCATTGAAAAAGGTGTTCGAAAGAGCTAGTGAGTTTTAGGAGGATGCAGGAGGTGCTTGGGCAAGCGCTACATTTCGAATCTGATCTCTGTAACGACAAGCCAGCCTTAGCCGATGAGCTGAAACGAAACGGAAGAAAGAACAATGGAAGGCAACAACATATCAAAACATTTCAATAGCTTGAACATGATTTCTGGTAAGCCCATGAAGGAGAAGGAAGGGAGGGAAGTTATTCAGGGGTAGGGAATACCTAACATCCGAAAATTCAGTTTCGGATTCCGTACGTATGCTCCGAGCTCGTCTAGGAGTGGCGTTATCCCTAGCGCCATCCGCCTATCTAGAGTCATCGGTGGTGAACACGTGGTCTACTCAACTTCTCTGATGCGTAAGTAGCTTCTTTTCCTAACGAGTCGAGGTCGATCAAACTTGATTTGCACATTTGCACATACAGTATTCATACGGTTATGATATAGCGCACCTATGCGTGCATCAAATAGATAAATAAATAAAAATAAATTTAAGGTGGAGCGAAAGGCAAAGTTGGGGATCGCACTGATTTATTCCTCTCTATCCATAGCCAGCATAACAAAGACCATGATTTGTGGGCGCATTCAATGACGTTGGGCGGGGCCAATGCTGCACCCTAAGGCCTTACCGCCTCAGCTTTTTCAAGTCATCCCAAAGTTTTGTAGAAGCTCTCCGCTTGCGCTGCACTTTTCTAAGGGAAAAGCTCCATCTCGACCACAAATCCTGGGCCTTGCCTTTGAATCAGAGGTCGTGGAGGAAATTTCAGCATGGTTGCAGAGTAAAGGTTCACTGACAAGTCTGTGCATGCCCATGATGGCTGTAATTTTCTTTGTTTATCTATTTATTTGTGTGTTCAATGACGCGCCACTTATAGGCCGATGTCAGACTTTGCGAATCGCGCGATTCGCTAACATACGATTCGCCTATGCGTCCGCGGCCACGGTCGCAGCTCCGCCAGCCCAATAATGATTAACAGCAGCTTCAGCCGAGACCCGGGCAAACTAGGCTGCAATCGCGCGATCGCGAAGTCTGATCATCGGCCATAAAAGAAGGCGACTACGAAAACTGACTGGCACTGACTCAAAAAAATAATGATGGCAATAACTGAAGCAGTTGTAAGCTAACGAAAGCTAACGAAATTAAAGAATACATGAACAGCAATAGCTTTCAATTTTTAATGTTCAAACTTCAAACAAAAAAGAATGAAGAAAAGACTTCTACGTGGGATGCCCTACGTCTCCCCTGTCCTGAGGAGAATGTAAGCCTTCGGTGCATCCAGGCAGCAGTAATTAGTGGGAAGATTTTCTTATCATTGCGAGAAAAAGTAACATGGGAAGCCCAAAGCATATGTCCGGGGCATCAAAAAAAAGGAGAAAGGTCAATTTCGAGAGAGAGCGCGCATCCAAGATACGGCGGCAATTGAACGGCTATGATGTTGTAAGAATCCTAGAACTCTCTCCTTTTTGGATATGTTTGGGGCCAAGCCTCAGTTAGGTAGAAAGAATTCAAGTGAATGAACAATTTTCAGTTTCACTCGAAGGCTTCTGACCGCTTCCTAAGATTCAACCTTGGGATGCCGCCGGTTATCTCGACAGATAGCGCCCAAGATATGGCTATCCAGTATGAAAACATCGAAGGCCAGACTGAGAGAAGCGATCGGATAAGAACTGAAGACGTAGAAAACCTCAAGCGATCAAAAGAACTGCGATACATCCTCGGCAAAAGTAGTTAGGGAAAATTCATAGGCAGGTAGACTGCCAACTCTCTGCGGGACACGTGCTTTTATAAAAATAACAGCAAAGACACTTGACACAAATAAATAGTCAACTGTGAGCAGGGCTAAGAACCGTTGTGGGCATCAATCAAGATCAAAGGTACTCTGGGGCTTCTAAAATTGGCTATGACGCTCTCCCACTGAGGAGAGGGTTGGGACATGCGAGGAGTATCTGTTCCTTTATTTGCCGAGCCTAAGTCGTGTAGTGTAAAAAGAGACACGCCACTTATCCCCAAGGTCCTTTTAATTGATTTTTATGTTTAATTGTTCCAGCTTCAAAGTAACCGCAGATTTACGGCTCAACCTTGTCGTTTTTTTTTTCTATTAGATGTAGCTGAGTATGCTTTACGCTTTCTCATGCGGTCCCGTTTGTCGTTTCAAGAACATTTTTTTGGCGGCTAGTTACCATACGATTAAGTTCCTCCAAAATACGTCCTCTTTCCACGGCAACACCCTTTCAAAATACGCTTTATATCTTGTAAAAATCTACCAGGCATGCTGTCATCTAGCCGAACTGCTCAGATCTAGAATCGGAGTCGAAAAATAAACATCGAAATTCAAGTGATGCAAATCAGATGGTTCGCCAAACATGGCCTCCTGCTTCACTTTGAAGCCACATTGATGCAGCACACACATACTCAGTCGAAAAATAAATTCCATTTTTTTCGCGATTTCTTCTCCTCTCTCGCAAATGACGCCAATTATGACGCGGCTATAAATATTCTCATGAAGGGCCATGAACTGATTTTGCCAAAGCAAAAGAGCAGGCCGTCCAGAAACACGTGGAGACGAACATTCGATAATGACCTAAAGATCATGGATGTTTCTAGGGACGAGGGTGAAATACTTGCGCAAAATCGTCAGCAATGGAAAGAATTCGTCGCCCGATGTGCTCAACAGCACGGGAGGAACTAAGTCTACCGAGCAGACGTTCCCCAGGCCGTCCGCCATTCAATGGGTTCTCATTCGTACTGAGACGATAAGCCAGAAACCGCTTTCTTAATCCATCGCTACCACGGTGGCTCTGAACCGCGCACTTCGACGAATTCCCACTCATTACTTAACAGCAGATAAAGCGCTGATCATATGGAGTCCCGCCACCTACAATCGCACAGCGGAAGGCCAAGACACGTCGTGGTTTGACGTGCGGTAGGTGGTAACGCTGGCCAGGCTTGTAGGCGAGAGGTCATGGGATCGGTCTCTCGTGGTGTTTGTTGTTTTGCCTTTTTGAAAACATGACCAGAAAGGCTTTTAGCGACAGTATCTCCTCAATTCCTTTACCTGCCTGTGTAAGGAGTTAGGGAGCACCTCTGCGCAGGTTGAAAGCTATTTTTAATTAATATTTGCCATGACTGAAAACGACGCTAGCCCCTGATAAGGTGTTTTTGCGGTAAACGAGTATGATATTCGTGTTCAGGAGACCGAATTTCCCCTGGTTACAAGTTTCCAGCTGAATCTGAGATTTTGACCTACACTCGAGAAAGGGCAGTCATACAGTCAAACGAGAGAAGGTATGAATCGAAAACTAACTGGAAAAGCACCTTCCCTGAATTTTGATGCAGAGTCATGTAAATCATTTCCATTATGCGGGAATGTGAGCCGTTGAACGTTTCTCTTTCAAAATCTTGGTTGGAAGAGGCAATTTCCATGCCAAGAGTTCAACGATAGGTTGATGATATGATGGTTGACTCACCTCATTTTTTAGGGTTGGGTCAAAATCTCAGATTCGGTAGGAAACTTATCTCCAAGGGTAGTTTGATCTCCTGAACACGAATATCACGCCTGTTTGCCGCGAAAAAGCCTGACACGTTGCATTACGGGCACCATGTTCATACATG